ACGACGACACACACACACACACACACACACACACACACACACACACACACACACACACACACACACACACACACACACACACACACACACACACACACACACGAATTTGTTGGAAGGAGCAGTTGAGCACGCCGATTCGGAGGCGAACACGTCAGCAGGAGCAAGGCAGCGTTGACAATGACACGCACCTGCGCCATACTGAAGGGTGTGGATGCAATGGGCTTGTTGGGGTCCTGCTTGAGCAAGAACGAGCGCTCAGGACACAGCTCCAAGAACACCACAGCTGTGTGTGTGTGTGTGCATAAGGGTCACATCATGGTAGCAGGCAAACAAAGGACCAAACGAGCGGCCACAATTGCATTGAAAAAACGCGTTGACAGTGCATGATAGAAATGGCGTGCGACCACTTCACTCAAAGCCACACGCCTGCTACAGCCACACGCCTGCTACAGCCACACATATGCACACACACACACACACATGCACACTAAATTGCACAGAGACTCAGACATGTACACTACAGAGACTGACACATGCATATCAAGGGCACGGACCTGGCCGTAGATGTCGCACGAGGTTTGCGGCGTCCAGGGTGCTCTGCTTGCTCACATGCGCTGTGCCAAACAGGTACACGCGAACCCCTTCCACCTCACACTCCACACACTCCACTCCATCCACAGTCACCTCAGTCGACGTCATCGTCCTCGCTCTCTCTCCCTTTGTTCGCTCTGATTGATGTGAATGAATCAGACGGATAGTTGTGTGTGCGCACACCCCCACACAACTCCACACAACTCACTGCTTTTTCTTCTCGCTCGAAGTTGGCTGTCCTTCTCGGCTACTGTTTATGGTGTCGCGCTGCATTTCTCTGACCTTCTCTGCGCTTCCGCTGCTGTGTGTCCATGCGTGCTTCGTGCTTGGTGGTGTGGGTGGCGGTGGTTGTGGCTCTGGTGGTGGTGGGGACGCACCATGGCTGCCTCGCCTTTGACTGCGAGACACACAGCCTGGCAGACGCCACACGCATGCTCCAGACACAACGGTAAGCGTGCGTGCGTGTGCATGCGTGTGTGTGTGTGTACGTGCATGCGTGTGTGTGTACGTGCGTGTGCGTGTGTGTACGTGCGTGTGCGTGTGTGGGGGGGGGGGCTTCTTGTATGCGTCGTGGTGATCTGCCTGCATGCTTTCGCTCAGCCTCTCGCTTGCTGGCCCTTAACAGTCCATCCCTTTCACTTCAAACACCTTCCCCTCCCCCCTTCCCCACACACACACATACACATACACTTGCCGCTCTTTCTTTGCTCCGCTCATGTATTGTGCAGGTGTCAGGAGCTTGAGGTGACGCACTCTGCAACGGTGGGTGGCACGCTGGACAGCGCCACCTTGGACGCGTTCGTGGCAGCACTGGCCGAAAACCGTGACGTGCGCAAGGTGGAGCTGGCAGACAATGCCTTTGGCGATGAGGGCGTGCAGAAGGTCATGGGCGCCCTGCTGCAGCGCGAGCTTGACCTGTACAGCCTGGAGCTGGAGCACAACGACATCACGGATGCCGGCTTGGAGGCTGTTGTCGAGTTTCTTCGCAAGAGCTCTGCCCTGCGCAAGCTCAAGCTGGGCCACAACGCCTTGACGGACGCCGGTGCTTCTCTTCTCGCGGAGGCCCTTCCAAACCAACTGCATGAACTCGACCTCTCCTTCAACAACATTGGCGACGCTGGCCTACTCTCTTTGCTCCACGCAGCTTCTACCACCATGGTGTGTTTGTGTGCTTGTGTGTGTGTGTGTCTGTGTCTGTGTCTGTGTCTGTGTGTGTGTCTGTGCGGCTGTTGCTGTGTTATTGGAGAAAACTCGCTGAACTCTTACACTGTGCGTGTGTCTGTGCGTGTGTGTGTGTCTGTGCGTGTCTGTGCGTGTCGGTGTGTGTCTGTTTATCTGCGTCTGTCCGTTCGTCCGTCTGTGTATGTATGTCTGTGTGTCTGTCTGTTCGTTCGTCTGCGTGTACATGTACTTGCATTCACACACCTGTTTCCTTTCTCAAGACTCTTGCAGCTTGAAGTGGCAACGCTTGTGCGGCTTCTTCTTTGCCTGCGTTCATCGCTCACCCCGTGTCATGAAACCTCCAACCCCCCCCCCCAACACACACACACACACACCTTCCCCAATCCCGCCAGCTGCGAGAGCTTGAACTTGAGCACAATGCTGTGACGGACCAAGGTGCAGCCGCCGCCGCATCGCTCCTCCTCGAATCTGACGACTCACTGCGCGAACTTGACCTCGACTACAACCACCTCCACGCGGACGGGCTGGCGGCACTTGCTGACTGCCAGCAGCAGCGCACAGACCGTGGCCACCGCATTCACATCAAGATTAAGACTGGTGATGGCGACTTTAGCAAGAAGCAACCACGTCGCTATCGGTCCGTGAAGCGAAGCAACGTTGCTGCTGGCTGGGACGAGCAAAGAGTCAAGCAGTGGGTGTCGGTGCGTTTTTCTGTACCATGCGTGTCTTGATTAGTTATACCTGTGCAGTTTGAGAGGAGTTGTTCACACGTATCGTGTGAGGGTTGTGGTCAATGTTGTTCTCTGTTGTTTGTTGCCTGCACTGCAGCGTGCTTCACATCACATCACATCACACACATCACACACACACACACACATGAATGCATCACGTGCATCACACCTGCATATGCCACTTGCTCATGATTTCCTTGTTCTTGCCCTCCAACACACACACACACACACACACACACACACACACACACACACACACACACACACACACACACACACACACACACACACACAATCACGCCTTGCAGGAGATCCACCCGCAGTTCCGCAAGTACGGTGCACTGATGACGGCCAACGCGGTCAACGGAGATGTGCTTGCAGGCTTGACGGACATCGACCTGCAAACCATGGGGGTGGACAACGCCATGCACCGCCGCCGCTTGCTCGCTGAGATTCGCCGCCTCACCTCATATGACGAGCTCTGATGCCCACACTGTTGTGTTGCCCTCTCGCGCTGCTGCTGCTGCTGTGTGTGTGTGTGTGTGTGTGTGTGTGTGTGTGTGTGTGTGTGTGTGTGTGTGTGTGTGTGTGTGTGGCTCTGGCATGCTGCGTGTGCGTTACATGATGTTGTCCCCCACCTCGACTGTAAAAGCGTGTCCTGCCTCTTGGCTCTCCTTTGCTGCGCTTGTTTTCTGACTGTGCATTAAACGTCGACAATGTGATGCTGGTGATGATGCTCGAGCAACAACTGCACCTACCGGCATTGAAGTGCGCTGTGGCTCTATGCACATCACGGCCACTTACAACATTACCGCCTCTCAGCACGCACACACACAGTCACAAACTCAGGCAGGATGCTGTTCAATAATTCCTGGTTTGCTTCACGTGGTGACCTGCCCTTGTTGTGGCATGGTTTTTACTTGTGCGTCGACCACCGTTCGAGGCATGATATGATGGTGACGACAACGTAGGCTCAAGTGCACGGGAAGGCGTGCATCGCCGAGTGCCGGGTCACCAGCCAAGCAGAGAACCAGGAATGAGATGCAACGTCAACACAGCGGCACACAATGACAATGGGGGGAGAGAGGGTGCAGGGTGCTTATGCGACAGAGGGGGCTGCGCTCGCAATACGGGGCCACAGCTCGGCACACTCCTTGACGACAGGACCAGTGATGGCCGACCCCTTCATCTCGCCCTTGACATTGACAATCACACCGGCATTGTCTGTACGTGGATGGGAAAGCGAAAAGAAGAAGGAGAAGCAAAAGGGAAGGTGGTGGGGTTTGGTCGAGCATGAGTTGTGCAGGAAGCAAAGCAAGGCAAACGGGCATGTGTGTACGTGAGAGACGCGCAAACGCAGCAAGTGTATTGGCGGGGTATCACAAGAAACACCACAGATCACCACGACGAGGCACAACTTTGGCACACAACAAGGCAACGCGCATGTGTTTGCGTACCTTCAAAGTACACGGTTGTGCCATCTTTGCGACGGAATGCCTTCCTCTGACGGATGACGACGGCAGGCATGACTACGCAGGTGATTGACGTCGCGAACAAGAAAGCGTACGAGAGAGAGAGAGGGGGGAAGATTCGTGTCAGTTGGGTGAAGGTCGTAAAAGGCAAAAGCGACATGCAAAGCAGCACAGTGTGGCAAAACAAGACCAAAGATAAACATATACACGCACACATGCGCGCAGGTATATGGTCCATGGCGTAGTGTCTCTACAGCTGGTTCGCCGTGTCACCCGAACAACCACAGCAAGCCACCAAAACGTTGAGGAGAAACGTACCCTTCTTCCGCAGCTCGGGCTTGCCCTTCTTGACGGTGGCGACGACCATGTCACCGCAGCAGGCAGCAGGCAGACGGTTCAGGCGGCCCTTGATGCCTGCGCCCCAAAAATGGCGTTGTGGTGTGTTGTGGTGTGTTTGTGTTGGTTGGAGTTGTTGCGCCAAAAGTGTGGTGGGTACGTGAGCGCGCGGGTGGGAATGTGCATGTGCATAATGTTTGCCGCCGCACAGTTGTAGCAATGAGACCAACAACAACAACAACAACAACAACAACAACAACAACAACAACAACAACAACAACAACAATAACACGCGCAACGGTAGGACAAAAGATCGAAGGAAAAGGGCACCAGACGACAAGACAACGCCAAGGGAGCACCTTTGTGGCAGTTCGACAACTGTTCCACAAACGAACAAAACCACCAGACAAGGCCACATGGACATACACGCACACATAAGAAACGTAAATGATGCACGCTGCACAGCATCGCTCACCGTAGACGGCAACGACGTAGAGGTTCTTGGCACCAGTGTTGTCAGCGCAGTTCATCACGGCCTGCGTGGGCAGGGCGAGGGACATGCGGAACTTGTTGCCCTTGTTGGCTCCTCCGGTACGCTTGGACATGGCGGCGGTGTGTGTTGGGTCTGGGTCGGCGACAAAGAAGGCCTGAAACAGCTTTACGAGCAATTGAATTACAAAAGGCGCGAAGGGTGGTTTGAGGTGAGCATGCACACAGGGCGTGTGTATGGTGGTGGTGTTGTGTTGTGTGTGGTGTTGTGTGGTGTAGCTGTGCGGCGGTTGTTTGTAGATGTGATTGATGCTGGCATTGGGAGGTATGCTTTGCTCTCCATCCAGTGTTTCACAGACACAGACACAAACACAGACGCAGACACACACAGACACGCGGCGTGCTTCATGTTCGTCTTCTTCCACCGCCCCAACACCGTCTCTCATGTACACTTCGCAAGCAAGCACCACCAGCCACCACAGCCGCTCCCATCTCCGCACACACACACGCACTCACATGCGGTCAAAGAGAAAAAGGGCGAGCGCACAAGGCAGCACATGCGAAAAGCAAATTTGCGAAAGATGCAGCAAATTTTCCACAGAAGACGACCAAACCAGATGACAATTCACCAATGACACCATCCAAAATTCGGCACGCTCAGCGGTATTAGATGCCCACTGAATCCGATACATCAAATATTATAATTTTGTGTGTGCAAGGGAAGGACAGCAAGAACGACTGAGACAGTGCACCGATGTTGAAGGGAGTTGTGAAGATGCTGTGGGTGGCTGCGGCTCTTGTTGTTGTGGCTGCTACAGCCGGTGCTGCTGTCGCGAGTGAGAATGGCAACGATGACGGCTTGAAGGATCACCCAGTGGTTGGAACAGCCAGCTATTCCTTGGATGGAACCTGGGTGGCGACAGCGCACGGGTCCTCGCAATCATACCAAGTCATCGCGCAGGTGTTTGTGTTTGTGTTTGTGTTCGTGTTCGTGTTTGTGTTTGTGTTTGTGTCTGTGTCTGTGTTTGTGCTTGTGCTTGTGCTTGTGCTTGTGCTTGTGCTTGTGCTTGTGCTTGTGCTTGTGCTTGTGCTTGTGTGTTTGTATCTGTGCTTGTGCTTGTGCTTGTGTTTGTGTTTGTGTGTTTGTGTCTGTGCTTGTGTCGTGCTATGCTTGTCTTGCTTTGTGCAAATGGTAAAGCTGGTGAGCCCGCTGAACGCACCCGTGCACACGTGCACACAACAACGACTGCAGGTGCCCGGTGACTTGATCTCGGACCTGGAGCGTCAAGAGTACATCGGCAACCCCCTGTACGAAGTCAACTTCCTCAACTCCACCATTTGGCACTCGTACAATTGGACATACACTCGAAACATCTCTTTGCCAGGCCTCAACCAAGGTTTTTGTTTTTTCACAGATACGCAGACATGTCACACACACACACACACACACACACACACACACACACACACACACACACACACACACACACACACACACACACACACACACACACACGCACACAAAGGGGGTACGCTTTGTGATTTCACCGCTGTGTTTTGATGTCATGTGCCACCTGTGGTGTTCAGCGACAAGCGCGCATTACACCCTCACCATGCGCACGAAACACCCTGCTTTGTGGACTACTAGGGGAGCGGTACATGCTCGTCTTTGATGGCGTGAAGATGGGCGCCACCGCATACGTGAACGGCCACCGCGTAGCAGTGATGACAGACCAGTTCCTCCGCTACACCGTCGACGTGACCCAATGGGCACGCGCTGGCTACAATGACATTGCCGTCACCTTTGACCCCGCCATGGACGTCAACGGAAGATTCATGGCATGGTGCGTGTGTGTGTGTGTGTGCGTTTGCTTGTTCTTGTTCTTGTGTGCTTCGTGCATGTGGGCTTCTGACTGTGCACGATGTAACTTCACGACCAACTGCGTGTGCTTTTGTTGCATTTATCTTCGCTTCTCCCAATCGCAGCACTGGCGGGTGGGACTGGGCGTTCTACACCAACACAGCGAACCACGGCTGCTCCACCTTCACAAAGGGCATCTGGAAGAGCGTGTACATCGTCAAGGTCCGTGCCCATGCCTCTAGCTGCACAATCAAGTGGGAGGGGAGGCGAAGGCGGAGCTGTGTCGTTTACAAGCAAATCAGCACTCGCCCCCGAAGCACAGTGCTCTGGCATTCTCACTCGCCCACACATACGTGCTTACTTACTCACTCACGCTCACACACACACACACACACACACACACACACACACACACACACACACACACTCATACACGCTGCCTTAGGCTGCGCCTGTGGCGGTGACGCATCTGGTGCCGCACGTCTTCTACAACGGATCGTATCCGAACAAACCGCTGCAAGACGACAACCACGGCGACTTTGAGGTGCACGTAAAGGTGTTCTTCTGGACACACGCGGCGCAGCACGTGTCCATCACCGCAACGGGCGAGTGGGGCGCGACAGCTTCGACCTCCGTCGTCTCCGAACCCGTCAGTCACACGCATACACACAACCACACAACCACACAACCACACAACCACGCATACACACAACCACACAACCACACAAAAACACAAAAACACAAAAACACAACCACACAACCACACAACCACACAAAAACACAACCACACAAAAACATGAGCATTGACTGCTGCTGTGTCAACGCACACTTCGGCGACTATTATGTCATCGTCACTCTCGCACTTACTTATTGCGTGCTCATGTCCTCACAACCTTTGGTCCATGCAATTACCTGCAGGGCGACAACGTGCACATGCTGAAGTTGCGTGCGACTGCTGCTGACATTGACCTGTGGTGGCCGGTTGGCATGGGAGATCATCCCCTCTACACCGTCACGGCCTCTGTATCCGCTGGTGGTGCCCCCGTCACCGCCCAACGCAACATCGGATTCAGGTCAAAACACGTGCTTGTGTGTGTGTGTCTGTCTGTGTCTGTCTGTGTGTGTGTGTGTGTGTCTGTCTGTCTGTGTGTGTGTGTGTGTCTGTGTGTGTCTGTGTGTGTCTGTGTGTGTGTGTCTGTGTGTGTCTGTGTGTGTGTCTGTGTGTCTGTGTCTGTGTGTCTGTGTCTGTGTGTCTGTGTGCCTGCGTCTGTCTGTCATCCCTGTGCACCACTCACCGCTCACAACTACCACCGCCGCCCCCACCCCACCACCGCGACTGCTCACCATAACTGTCCCCAATGACATCTCCACGCAGGGTGTTTGCGCTTGTGACGGGTAACGACACCAACCCCGAATACGTCAAGAAAAACATGCACGCAGATGGGACTGACACGCAGGGCATGCTGTTCCGCGTCAACGGTGAGAACTAGCAGCAGATATGGCGGTGGTGGTGGTGGTGGTGCTTGGATCTTGGTTTATGTGTACGTGGCTGATTGTAATGGGATGGGATGTCAATGCAAGCACCTGCCACAACAGCCACGTTATCAACACACACACACACATACATATATGCTCACACACATACACACATACACCAGGCGCTGCGATATACTCGCGCGGGGCGAACATGATACCGATGGAGGAACTTGAGGGCCGGCTCAACGGCACCGCACACCGGCAGCTCGTGCAGAGCGCTGTCGACGGTACGCGCAACACCGTGGCAGTGGTCGTGGTGGTCGTGGTCGCAAGGAGAGAAGTGTGCTCGTGCATGATACCATGACATGCTCACACACTCACTCACACACTCACACACACACACACACACTCACGCACTTACTCATTCACTCACTCATCCACCCACTTTCACTCACTCACTCACTCACTCACTCACTCACTCACTCACTCACTCACTCACTCACTCACTCACTCGCACATACACACCACTTCACGGACATATGACCATCTGCCCTCATCTCGTTGTAGGCGGAATGAACACGCTGCGTGTGTGGGGCGGCGGTATCTTCCTGCCAGACGCGTGGTACGACGCCTGCGACCGGCTCGGTGTGCTCGTCTATCACGACATGCAGGTGCGTACAGCTGTGTGCTTGCACCTGTGTGCTTGCACCTGTGTGCTGTCGTGATGAATTTCTTGCTTCCTTGCTTTGTTTCCATTGTGCGTCTGCTTGTGCCTGTGTAGCTTGAAGCTGCGTCCTTGCATCAACACTCCGACGTTGGCATGTCTTGTGGTTGCCACTCACCCACCTGTCCCCTCGTCCCCTTGTCCCTGTCTCTCGTCCTCCGCCTGCTTCTCTGTGCAGTATGCACAGCGGGGCCATTCGCCCACAAACGACAGCACGCAGACTGCAGAGCTCCAGCACCAGGTTGGGACGCGCAAATGCGTGTGCGAATTGCGAATGCGTGTGTGTGTGTGTGTGTGTGTGTGTGTGTGTGTGTGTGTGTGTGGCTGTGCGTCTCTGTGCGCGCTCTCGCGTTCTTGTTGCATTTCGAGAACAGCACCGTACAATACCGCACGTCAGCCACCATGCCATTGAAGTCCTCTGTTTTGTTGCGCATGTGTGCATTAACTCACACGATTGCGCTTGTTGCCCTCCTTCTCACGTGCGTGTGCATGTGATCACGTTCATCAGATTCGGCGGCTGTCGCACCACCCGAGCATTGTCATCTGGGACGGGTGCAACGAGTGCCACGTTGTGATCCACACACCAACAGGTGTCGACACACACTCTTGCAGCGCCATTGGTGGTGCCATTCGCAGCCTTGCTTGACGTGCATTTCCGCTCGCACAACGAACAAGCGACCAAACGCCCTTTCATTCACACACACACACATATTCACGCGCGCGCGCACATTCACTCATTCACGCACACGCACACATACGACAAACGTGCATTCGTGCAACCCCCCCCCCCCATCCCCCCGCCAAGGCATTTATGCGACGTTTGTGATGACGCTCGTTGCGGCTGAGGATGCGTCGCGCGTGATCTGGCCGTCCTGTCCGGCCCCGGGATGGACAAACGGCGTCAACCGCCTCACGGGTCTTCCAAACGGCTCCCCGCTCGGCCTCCTGCCACGCGCAACCCCACCACCGTCATCGTCATCGTCATCGTCGTCGTCGTCGCTGTGTCGTTTCCAAGAGAACACAGACTATGAAGCCGGCACCGTCTGGACACACCCCACCGCTTCTACACAGGTGTCGCAATTCTGTTGTCTTGTGAACGTGCGAGTGTATATGTGTGGTGTGTATGTGTGTGTGTGTGTGTGTGTGGTGTATGTATGTATGTGTGTATGTGTGTGTGTGTGTGTGTCCGTGTGCGTTTTCATGTGTATGTGTGTTTGCATTGCCTTTTCTCGTGCATCTTCACATCCCCCACCCTCTTCTCTCCATCACCATCACTACCGCCACCTCCACCACCGCTGTAGGAGACGTGCTGTGGCGAGTGCAGCCGCAACAGCACGTGCGATATTGCCGTGTTCTACGAATCAACGTGCTGGTTCAAGCGCAACACCAGCGCGCCATCCTACCGCCAAGGTCGCACGGCATGCTTCCCGCCGGGTGCCGGGCCCATCCCAACGCCGCAGCCAGCGCCGCCGTCACCAGGCAACATCGAGACACATGGCCCATACCAGCACGGCTCGGTGTGTTGTGCACATTGGATGGAGAAGGGGCGGGGGAGGTGACTGCCGTCGCTGCTGTGCAGTGTGTGTGTGTGTGTCTATCTTGTGTGTGCTGTTGACGGTTTTGTGTTGCAACGTATTGCGTTGTGTTTGCTGTCTTGGTGTGCTGTGTTGGGCTAGCTTGTGTGACATGATGCTGTGGCCGCTTATTGTTCGACCTCGCGTACTCACACCCCATTGCCGTGTGCGTGTGTGTCAATAGGGGTTCCCTGCAATGAACGGAAGCCCACAACTTCAGCTCTTTGATGCAAACATCCCCATCTCCCTCACTCCGTACCTGGTAATCGCATGTCGTGCGCTCACATGCCATGACGACGACCGCACATTACGTGAAGCGCAACGGAATGCTGTACCATCATTGTCTATGCCTGTCCACACGCGCACACAGCGAACAAGCGAATACAAACTTACTCGCACACATACTCACCACAATGCACACACACTCGCACACATACTCACCACAATGCACGCACACATACTCACCACAACACACACACACACAGACTGGCCCACAATACCACAGCGTGTATGCGTCTGAGTTTGGGTGTGTGGTGATGTCGTCGTTTGAGTCGATGGCGCCGACTTTGGCCAAGGAGCACTGGGGACTGCACGGCGGCGCGCCCCCAGACAACTGCACGGGTGAGATGGCCGGGCCACGCATGAATTGGGAAGAAGAGGGGGGGGGTGGCTGCTGATGGCTTGTTCGAAGTTGCATACGTGTGGATGTAAGTGGATATGCGAACGTATGCAGGCAATTGCCCACCTGCGCTTCAATCATCATCATCATCATCATCATCATCATCATCATCATCATCATCATCGTCATCATCATCATCATGGCTGCTGTTGTTGCCCAGGCGGGTTCAGCCCCGTGTGCCACGGCGACAACGTGATGGCACAGCGTAACTACCCGTGTGACAGCATCGTACTCGTGTACTTCGGCGAACAGGACCTCAACGCCACCGGCGCAGACGCCTTTAAGAAACAGCTCTACATGGTACGCGTGTGTGTGATGAGTGTGTGTGATGTGATGTGTGTGTGTGTGTGTGATGTGTGTACATGTGTTCGTCGTGTTTGTTGTCAGTTGTGCCCGCTTGCGCTTTCATGGATATGTTTTCATTCTTTGCTGGCTGCTTCGCGCTATCTTTGCCATCCCTCCACTTCACTGACCCTCCTTGTTGATACTTGACATGTGTTGTTCATCGTTTCGATCACGCCACACCACTCTTATAACCACCATCATTGTTGTCACCCCTCGTCACCACCACCGCCGCCACCGCCACCGCTACCACAGTGCATGATTGGGCAAGCGCTGAACATCAAGAGCAACATCGAGACCCGACGCGGCACGAACCAGTTTGGAACGCTCATCTGGCAGCTGAACGAGATCTGGCCAACCGGCGGCTGGGGCTCGCTCGAATACGGCACGCCAGGGCAGCCGGGGCAGGTAAGGAGAGGGAAGGGGGTGATGGATTGCTGGTGTTGAAGGGAGGGTTAGTGGCAAAGGTGCCTCCTTTACGTTTAGTGGCATGTTTAATGACAGCCTGTGCACGCTCTTCTCCCATCCTCACCCCCTTCAAACAAACACAAACACAAACACAAACACATCACCACACACACACACACACACACACATTTACACTCACACATCAACACACACACACACACACACACCCAAACAAACCTGTGCTCCCTTCCACCGCTGCAGGTGATTGGTGGGCGGTGGAAGCCGCTACACTACTGGCTCAAGTCGTCCATCTATGCAGACACGATGGCGGCGTGCGACGGGGCAGGCGTGTGCTACATCAAGAACGATGCAGCGCGCGCATTCACAGGGCGCGTCACAGTCACTGCAGTGCCGTTCAACGGCAGCCCTTCGTCTGTCCTCAAGGCGTTGGATGTGTCGCTGGATGCCGGCGCCGGGGTGACGCAATGGTTCACAGTGGACCTCTCGTCCATCAACTACAACAGCACCGTGCTGCTGATTGAAGTGGCGGACACAACAACAACAGCAGCAGCAGCAGCAGGTGCCAACGATGATGGCGACAGCGGTGTCATCGTGTCATCAAATGTGCAGGCGCTGACGCCACCACAATACATGCAGCTGTCCCCCGCTGACGTGTCGTTCACGGTTGCAGACACGGCGAGCAGTGATGGCACCATTGACATTACCGTCACCACCACAGCGCCGGCAATGTATGTGACGTTGACCACGCTCGCACAGGGCAGATTCTCAGATAACGCTTTCCTCCTCACGTCAACCAAGGTGTGTGTGTGTGTGTGTGTGTGTGTGTGTGTGTGTGTGTGTGTGTGTGTGTGTGTGTGTGTGTGTACATGTGTGCTTGAAATGTGTGTGTGAGAGTCTGCTGCGCGGGCTTGTTGGTGCAATTCGTAAACCCATGAGCGGCTCACGCACACATACACATACGCACATACACTCGCCAACGCGTTGTGGCTATCTGTAATAGGTTGTTCAGTTCATTCCATTTCTGCCAACAACACCGGCACAGCTGAAGCAGTCGCTTCGCATCGAGCACCTGCAGCAGTACACGGCACACGCGTAGCCGTCCTCTGTGTGTGTGTGTGTGTGTGTTGGGGTTCTTGTGTTTGTATTGTGCTGGCTGCTGCTTCGTGAGACCATAATGTGTGCCTTGTTTGGTTCGCTTGCTTGCTGGTTTTAATTTGGCTCCCACATGGCGGTAACGAGAGGAGCTGGATGCGATAAACAACGCGCCCAACCCCAAGCATGTGTGCGGGCGCCCTGTTGCTGTTGTTGTTACATGTTCCCTCTTCAATCTCATACACGCGTACATGCGCACATCGCATGCCACGATCATCGTTGCCGCCACAATTGTAAACACTGAACGCTGACGCATCAAATCAACATGATGCCACACAGCAACTGCAACCTCTCAACACCACCACACCACTACACCCCTGTCATCACACCACTGCACACCACTACACACCACTGCCATTAGTGGCGGGTGTGCAGCCTGCCTGTTGCGAGCTCGAGCCGTACGCTGTGTCCCCTGTATGCGGCCTGGATCCGTAGCGCAGCCGCCTCCCGTCGACGCGCCTGGTGACGATGATGATGACGACGACGATGATGTGACAATGATGGTGGTGATGGTGGTGGTGGTGGTGGTGGTGGTGGTGGTGGTGGTGGTGGTGGTGAGGCAGTGGCATTGGCAGAGAAGGCAACGTATACCGGTGGCGAAGATCAAACACACGCACATACACACATACATACACATACACAAACAAACAAGCAAACACACACACACACAAACAAACAAACAATCAAAACACACATGCACACATACACACACACATGCGCAGGTGCTGGTTGGCACGTACCAGATCTTCCTCCTCCTTCTTTCTTCTTGCCTCTTCCCTCAACACCTTGTACATCTTCCGCACTTGACTCCCCCTGCACAACAGCAGCAACAAAGTGTAAGCGAGTGACCATTGTGTGTGTGTGTGTGTTTGTATGTTTGTATGTATGGATGTGTGTGTGTGTGTCATCGCCTCCAACAAGAGCCATGTTTCCGCTGCTGCCGCTGCTGCTGTTACCGCCTCTCACCTGAATGCGGCCTGGATTCTCGCTGCTGCCTGGTCGTGGGTCAGAGCAGGAGGGTTGTATGGGTTGTGCCTGCACATCAAACACACGTGTTGCATGTAATGTAACCGTGCATTCAAGGACATGCGTGTGTGTATGCGTGTGTATGTGTGTGTGTGTGTGTGTGTGTGTGTGTGTGTGCAGTTGACCACCAAGCGTGTCGAGTCGTGCGTGGGTTGCTGGTCAAACAGGAGCCAAGTATCGCTTGCCCCACCCTTTTTCCTCCCCAACGACTGCTATCCCTAGCAGCAGCAGCAGGAACTCGGCCCCAATCAAGCTGTCACCGAGTGAAAACAGGCACAGGTCTGTGTACCGTTTGAGAAACGTGCCCAGCCAGTCAATGGGGTTGAAGTTGACAGCGTGCTCCGGGTGCTTTGTAAACGCCATTGAAGGATCTTCATACTGCTGGCGAATGTCCTGTGCATTCGCCATTTGATGGTGCGGTGGTGGAGGGGGGTAGGCATGTGAGAAGTCAATGAACCACATGCAAGCTTGCGTGTGTGTGTGTGTGTGTGCGACCCGCCATGACACTTACGCGTGGGATGTGGTACTTGATGGCAAGGATGAGTTTGTCGAGTGCAAGCTCCAGCGTTGGCCACAGCTTCTCTTTAAGGTACACACCCTCGTCGGCTGGATTTGCAATGGCGATGGCAGTGGAGATTGCACACAGGTTGTGTGTGCGTGAGCACGCAAACGCACTGTCATGCATGGAAAACACGTGCCAAGTGCAACAAGAGCCGGGCATTCACATGCCAGGCAGCACACTGCTATTCGCAACAAGTCATGCAGTCGCGGTGCTTGGGCGTACAAGTTGGTTGCAAGATGGTGAAGAGCCGAGCTGAAGCGGGCAAGGTTCGAGGCAGCTGCTCCGGTGGTGGGGGCACGCTGCATGCATATGGGGGCGGGAAGAATTGAAGTCGCGAGATGACATGTGAGCGGCACAATAACACACACAGGCCA